GTGTGTGTGTTTGTGTGTGTGTGTGTGTGTTTGTGTGTGTGTGTGTGTGTAAAGGATTAGGATCAGCAGGCAATGGAACTCTCCCCAAGGAAGAGTAACACCCCCTCTTAAAAATGGCAGACTAAAGCCCCTAGTTCTCAAGGTGGTTTGCTTCCAAGTACACGCGATGGCACTGCCTACCTGCCTGTCAGCCCAGCTTGAGAAGAGACGGTCCACGGGAACAAGCCGTTCTTTCTACGGCTGCCCTTACAAGTTCCCAAATCTAGAACCGAGATCCTGCGCCTGCTGCTCTTGAACCCTCGGAGTGACTGCCGATCCTAACTGGAATAGATTAGTGCCAGTCACGCTGTCGCCCTCTGCCCCTCCTCCCCGCTGTTAGGGCTCACCCTTGCACACGCACAAATCTCTGCCTGTTACTTCAATGGCTTCTGCTGAGATTTGTCAGCGGTGCGGAGGAAGCACTGGCGACCCTTTTTCTAGCGATTGGAAAATCCCCGAGAGGAACGGGGGAGGGGGGAGAGACCTTTCGTTCGGCAGCGGCATTGGCCGCTCGCTTCCTATTCTCACCGCCAGGAAAGCGAGGAGAAAACCCCCGGCGGTGGTCCTCCTCTAGGCTTCTCTCGTCGGCTGTTGTTGTTTTCCTGCCCACGCGCGCCAGCGTAGTTTCCTTACACTCGCCCTGTTAAGCACCGAGGCATCCGCTCGGGCGCGCACACACCGCCGGATTCCGCTGGAAGTGCAGCGTGGTTGGTGAATTGCTGGTGTATTTCATCCGTGGCGTTTGGCTCGGGAGTAGCAGCTCCTCCCCTTGGTGGTGCTGTCCTCTTACTTGATCAAATCCTCGAACGTGAACAGTGTCACTGAAAAGCACGTTTTTTTAAAAAGAAAAAGAAAAGAAAAGAAAAGAAAGAAAAGGAAAGAGAAAAATCCAGCAACAGTGAAAGTACAGAATCCAACTACAGGACTTTTTGTTTTTGTTGTTATTTTTTTTAAAAGAAAAAAAAACCAACCCCAAACGCCCCAAAACGAAATCTCTGCACCTCAATCTCAGAGGTTGAAAAAAAAGGTGGAAGAAGAAAGGTTTGGCTGCAAAATAATAATAATCTGCTGGCCGCTGCGCTCCCTACCTCCCGCTTAGAAAGGACCCCCACCCCTCTCACCATACATACCCAATTCTCTGCAAGGCATGGAGAGAGGGGCTGGCTGGTTCTCTGGCTGCTGCGTCGCTTGGATCGCCTCGGCATGGCTTTTCTTTGGCGCTGGGTCTTTCGTCGGGGCTGAGATAACTTGCCGATCTTGTTTCCAGTCGTCTTTATCGCCCACATCTTTCCGGGTGAAGCTGCTGCAGTTGCCGTCGCCGCTGGAGGTTCCTCGGAGAGTGAAACTCGGACCAAGCGGCGACGAAGACGGGGAAACCCTTCGGGAGAATCCTCGTGGAGGATGGGGTGCATCGGGAGAGGCCGTGGAGGAGGAGGGCGAAGCGACGGGAGCGCCCCGAAAGGATCCCGGGCCGGAGAGGGCTCAAGGCACCGCACCCGAGGAAGCCACCGGCGGACTCCCGAAGGAAACCGAGAGGGCGAGCCGGAGCCCCGACCTCGGCGGCTTCCACCAACTCGGGAATAGGGTGGAGGACAGGGGAAGCTCCTTGCCTTCCGTCTGGGCAGAGACGCAACAGATGCCCGGAGGAGGGTCTGTTGGGGAATCGCCGGGCGGCAGCCCCAGAGCACGGAGGAGCAGCGAGGATTGGCAACCCTTCGGCCCGGACCGGCGCGGGGCAGAAGGAGGTGGTTGGGACGCCGCCTCTCCGGACGTCCAGAAAGCCCGAATTCCTGGCAGAGGCTCCAAAGAGGAAGGGCGGCTGGGCAAACTGCGCGGGGGCGGAGGCGAAGAGTTGAAACTGTCCAGCACGACCTTTGCCCTGAACGGAGACTCGGCCCACAACCAGGCGATGGTGCACTGGTCCGGCTACAACAGCAGCGTAAGTCGACGAGACGGCCAGGGGCGGGGGGGGGGGGGGGGCTGGAGGGGCGAAGGATGGGGAGCGGGGGGGGGGTTGTCTCCCTCTTCAAACCCGGCAGACCTTCACCAGTGGCTTCTCGGTCTTTTCCCGGGTGCAAAAGTTTCTTGCTGCGTCGGACGCTGGGCTGGTTTGCGGGAGAAACTCGCGCCGAGTGTCTCAAATCTTTTTTGGCAACGGAGCACTAGCTTTATCAGCACCACGGAGAGGGAAGTCGGGGTTCTTTCTATCCGCCCTTCCAAGGATGACTGTGGGCCGCTGGAGGAAAGTTAGATGTGCTTTGTGTTTTAGCAGTGGTCTCCCCCCCACCTCCTTCTTTGCTTTTTGTTTTAAAACTACTATTGCGCTCGGAAGAGAATTGTGCTTCTTGCTTGATTTACAACGCAGTCACACCGTTGATTTCCCTGTCTTATTCCCCTCCCCCGTTTGTAATAGGGGGTGAGGGGTGGGATGGGGGGAGAAGATGCTTCAGTGGCACTGTGCTGAAAAATGAGTAACGAGGAGTGGGAGCGAGAGAGAAGGACGGTGGCCTTCGCTGTTCAGAACCTGGCATTTGATTTATTAAGAAGTGATACACCCCCTTCCTCCTTTCCATATAAAGCAAACACTAGAAAAGGTTGCTTTCAAACTAATCGGTGGAAATCAACTTTCCCTTACCTGCAGAAATAACACATTTCTACATTTATAAATGCATACACGTATATAAATGCCACAGATGATTCTTGTACGTATGTACGTACAATCGCACATACATATATTGTATATTGAGTAGAAGATCTCTAGAATTTCCTATAGATTATGCATTAAGAATCTTTCTCTGTTTTTCTTCTCATAAACTCAGTTTTATCAAAAGGTGGCGCCCTTGAAATCTGATTTGAGTAGCTGTACTGGCGGATGGAGCAATATTACATGCCATGCATTTGTTGGAAAGAGCAGTGAAAGGGACATTGTTAAATTAGAAACACAACTAGCTAGAATCTGGGTTTATAATCCTTGTAGGACAACCATAGGAAGAATGTTCAATTTTCTCTTAACATTTATGTAGAAATGTTATGGTCAGTTCTCCTATAACAGGAGAACTGTTGGCAGGAGACTATTTATTTGAAGGCTTGGATACAACCTGTTGAAGACAATGTGCTTATTATTTTCTTCCTTTTTGTTTTTGCATGTACTGTAGTCAGCTATAGAACATATCTGAGTTTGAAAATTCAATATTCACCTACAGATTCAAACTTCCTATTCCCAGGTCGCTAATTGGTCATTTATGGTCCCAAGTTTGAATCTGTATTTCTATATGATCAGAAACAACAACACTTTTTCTGGTGTCTATTTATTTTCAGAAAATGTTATCTTTGGCTTAAGATTTCTTTAACAATGCAGAGTTAGATGCATATTCTTCTGTAGGGCCCTGTTGTAGCTGCCATTTTTGCTAAATATAAAATCAGTTTTATGTCTTAAAAGAGTGCCATGTCTACATTTGGCACTATGTTTGAGTAATATATATATAATAAAACCTGCAGTCCCTTCTTTTTCATGCTTTAAGGGTGTGGTGGTTTGTGTCTGCCAAAATAGCTGATTAGTGATATGGATATTCTGTGTGAATTTTGAATTCCTATTATAAGATTTCAGAAGAGTTCCAATGCTTTTGAGACGAAGACTTCCTCCCCCCCGCCAATACATTTTAAATGCCTATATGAAGTAGTATAATTATCAATATAAAAGTAAGTGCTTCTCAGTGGTTGTATAGTTGGATTGCATGATGTAGGAAATCAAAATGAAGGAATGTAGAAATAGTACATTGCAGTAGCATTCTGATCTTTTTGATATTTCAAGTGGAAAGACAGTATCTGCTAGCAAAGAAACCGCATTTCATAGATGAAATGGGTTATTTTGGTGTTTGCATGAAGGGAAAAACAAGTGAGCCATTAATAAATAAATTATATCCATCTATGATTTCAATAAGGAGAGGCTGAGAATTTGGGATTTTCCCCCTTACTCCTGGGAGAAAGCGTAACATTATGTTTGGGATTAATTGACTATATTTTTTTGAAAGCTGGGCTGCACTTCCCTGTAGAAGTCGAATGCTCAGTTTGACTGAAAAAAGACAAAGTTACCAAGATGAGAAAGAAAGAAAGAAAGAAAGAAAGAAAGAAAGAAAGAAAGAAAGAAAGAAAGAAAGAAAGAAAGAAAGAAAGAAATACTCTCTGATGAAAGTCTGGCTCCTTTTTCTTGTCTGCTGCAGCCTTTCCTCTTCCCTGTTTAATAAGTGGGAGGAGGTCAGCCAATTGGTTTAAAGCAGCACAGCAAAATGGTGATTTAACTCAGATTAGATCTCAAAACTATTGCCTACTTTACCACAATACTTTATTACCCTCTGCAGTTGGGAACTTATTTCCTGAATGCAAAACATCAGGACAATGGAATACAAAGATGTGTCTCTTCACACTACTGGCTATGTTATGCTGTCTTGAGTAGCCCAATTTTCACTATTGAATATACTGATGTGACACACACTAAGAGCAGTAGCATATACTCACACCTTCTGTCTGTTTCTAAAAGTTTGACTCATTAGTGCTTGGCTTTTGGCAGTCTCCTCTCTGGAATAAAGATACTGTGTTTGTCTCTCTTTCTGTGTATTACAGAGTGTGTGCATTACAAATATTAATAAAAACATATGTATTGAATTTAGAAAGTAGGGTCAACAAATTGATGGTGAGATTTTAAAAAGCAGATAAAAGACAATGAAAAATAGTTTTCTTTGTTAGACAATTCATTTTGAAGCAAATTAGAAGACATTAACACATTAACCTTGGGATGTGGACAAGTGATACTGTTTACATATGAATATATAGATAATTTGTATAGTATGTGTAGGTAAGATATGTCTAGTTAAATCAATTAATTCACTGGCATCCCACTTTCTTTGTATAGTTATTCATCTGCACTAACATGGGGCAATGGAATTAAAATATGGCTTGCTTCCATTTCTCATCTATGGAATTTTGGCAATATGAATATGCAATCCATAAAAATTTCTTATGTAAAATGTATCTATGCATACAATCTAAATAATATGCACTTCTGGGTAGAAGAATGTACAGATTGACTCTACAAGTATTGGGTTGGATTCCCATGATTCCCAGCCAGTCTTTGATCAAATTGAAATGATAAAAGTTGCCCATCATATCTGGAAAGCTATAAAATAAGTAGAGTGGGGTCAGTCTGTAGGTGTATATATTTGTGTGTGTATATATATACATGCTACCTTCTGACATGCTACATGCTACCTTCTGCATTAACATCACTAATATATTGCTATTTTTTTTGTTTAAGTGGAACATTAGTATAAAGGGATTTTCATTGATTATTTTTGTATCCCTCTCCTTATTTCAAGTCTGCCTTTTGCTTTCTTCTTTTTTTGGACTAGCCTCTCTTGTTCATCAACTTTCAATTTTGTCCTTAAGAGTTGTTCACATTGTAAAGCCTTTTTGTCTCATTTCAGTGGCATTCTTCTATTCTTTTATCATATCTGTGCTAGCTCTACAACAAGTACCTGGGCTCTTCTAGCTATCTATTGTACCTATTATGTGTTTCATATCCACATTGGCTTCCTGACCTGTATAATTGGTGTGGAAAAATAACACTCAGTTTTCATCATTTAGTATCATATGTTCATGGTTCAATATGTTACTGGTTGTGTGTGTGTGTGTGTGTGTGTGTGTGTGTGTGTGTGTGTGTGTGTGTGTGTGTGACTCTTGTTAATGTTCTTTAATGGAATGCCATAGGGGTGAAGTGACTGGGATAATCAAGAATATTGCTTTCAGGCTGGCAGGGAAAATTCAGGCATTCAAGGATGGCGTTTATTCTGATCCTGATAGAGAAACTACATTTTAACCAGTGCTAGTGGTCAGATCCTATCTAATAATCTATAGTTGGGTTTTTGTGTGGTTTTTTGTGACCACAGACTTTAAAACTCCAACTCCCAGTTGATGGTAATCTAGTGTCCTATTTCCACTATATGTATAACTATCCTGTTTCTGGGTCCTTCCTTTGAGACAGAACAGGTGTTACTGCTTCCTTCCTTACTAGCTTATGATTCTTACAAATCTCTGGTTTGATATTATTAAAAAA